AATAGCCAAGATATGGAACCAACCTAAATGTCCATTGATGGATGACTGGATAAGGAAAATGTATATGTACACCATGGAATACTAGTCTGCCATAAAAAGAATGAAATTCTCCCATTTGCAACAACATGGATGAGCTTGGAGAAACTTATGTGGAGTGAAATAAGCAAAGCACAGAGGGATAAATACAGCCTGTTCTCACTCATTAAGTGGGACCCAAGAGAGAAAGAAGGAAGGAAAGAAAGACCACAGTGGTGGGTTGGACCTGCAGAGGGAGAACATACCTAGGGATACAAAGTGGAGTGGGGAAAGGGGATGGGGAGGGAGGTTGGGGATAATTGGGGGGATAACTGGATGGGTGCAGGGGGTATAATCACAACTTGTGGTAACAGGCATTCTGTCCCTATGGATCTGGCCATCACATCTTAGGCCCTAGTGGTGACGATTTGCTCTGTACCCCATGAATATTCATAATCAATATAATAATAATAATAATATCTAACACTTGCAGACCACTGATCTAAACGTTTCCAAATATATTAACTCGTTCCATCTTCACAGTAATACTTTGACGCCAATACTGTTATTATTATCTCATTTTACAGACGGGGAAACTGAAGCACTTAAATAACATCAGATTTTTACAGTGAGCGACCTGCACAGCAACCTTCATGTGGTACATACAAGCACGGTACGTTTCATTTTCAAAGCAGGTGTTGGCCATCCACAGAAGTCAAGAATACTCATACCGACACAAAATATATCTTACTGTTCTTAAATGTGTTTATCATAGAACATTGCAAATACGTATAATAGTAGAAGGAACAGTGCACTGGTGATACCCACCCCATGCTCCTTTATACCAATCTCGATTTACCTATCATGTCTCCACTCATTTCCCCTGCCCCTCCCTCATTATGTCAGAGATAATCGCAGACTTTGTATCATTTCATCCACACTACATCGTTCGGTATGTGTCTGTAAGAGAGAAGGACTTCTTTTTCTTTCTAAACGTGACCATAATACCATCCAAACACCGTAAAATTTACAGTTATTGCTTAATATCCAATATCAATCAATGGCCAAAGTTCCAATCACATATCTCACTTTAATATTTATTGAAAACTTGCAATGTGCTCGCACTAGGCACTTTCACATAGACCAGTTCATTTGCGCTGCTGCTATTTAAATTGCTTTCTCCCCCGCTTTCACTTTACTGAAAGGAACGAGGCTGCCTCTACCAGATGACTCGGAGCCTCCGTGCGCCTCCCTCCGTCCTGCTCCCACCGCGGGGTCTCCAGCCGTTTTCCAGGCGGGGCGAAGGCTCTGGCCCGGGAGCCCTTGCGAGGCCGGTTGCCTAGGCGACCAGGGGCCGCGTCTCTCCGTCGAGATCTAGGCCACGACCATGGGGACGACTCCTGGGGGAACGAGCCCCGCGGGAACCACACCCGAGGCGGAGGTACGCCGCGCCTGTCCTTTCCCGTCCTGGTCCCAGAGACTCCCCCGAGCGC